TGATATGGCAGGTGACCTTGATAACAAAAAATCCACTACTGGATATTTGTTTACATTTTTAGGGGGAGCTATATCATGGCAGTCGAGGTTGCAGAAGTGTGTCGCACTCTCTACAACTGAAACAGAGTATATTGCCGCTATTGAAGCTGGCAAGGAGATGTTATGGCTCAAGCGGTTTCTTCAAGAGCTGGAATTGCATCAAAAGGAGTATGTCGTCTATTGTGACAGTCAAAATGCAATAGACTTGAGCAAGAACTCCATGTACCATGCAAGAACAAAGCATATAGATGTGAGATATTATTGGATTCGTGAGCAGGTGGAGAACGAATCTTTACAGGTCAAAAAGATTCACACGAATGAAAATCGTGTTGATATGTTGACCAAGGTGGTACCAAGAGACAAATTCGAATTATGCAAAGAACTTGTCGGCATGCACTCAAACTAGAAGACAGTTCTACCTCCTCTAGATGAATGAGACTGGAGGGGGAGATTGAAGGGGTCCATCTCATTCAAAAGCCAAAGTAATAGGCATGTGCCTAAGGAATTTTTTTTTGGTTTGGTAGCCAACTTTGTTGAATTGTCAACATTGAAGAAAAAGAAGGAAAAGTGTGTGCAGATTGTCAAATATAGTAGGCTTTAGAGAGTGAGGCTTCGGCTATTAAAAGGAGAGTTTCGGCTCTCATTTCTACACACCAACAAAGAGAGAAAGAAAGAGTGAGGTTTCACAGACAAGGTATAAGAAAATAGTCTGTGAGAAAAATAGAGAGTGATCGATATTGTAGTGAGGTGGGAATATCAAAAGAGGGTTATTTCTTTTGAGTGTTGTAGTAGTCTTTGGAGTATTTTACTCGGACCTACAAAGTGTAAAATTCCTTGCTATAGTGATATCAGTTGCTCGTCTCGGGGCCGTGGTTTTTTCCTTATTCAAAAGGGTTTTCCACGTAAAAGTCTTGGTGTCGTTGTCACTCTTTTATTCTTGTTAATTACCGTATCTCGGTGCTACGTTATTATTCCGCTTTTATTATTGTGAATATTATTTCTGTAGGGGGTTTATTCCCAACAATAAACTCTCTTCAACTTTACCATCCATGGCCAACGAAATTCAACATTAATTTGAGAAAACCTTGGGTGGATTGAGCCCCTATTTAAGCAAACTCTTCTGTTTTTCTTCCCCTTGGCTTGGGTTTCACCCAAAGTTGCTTTGACATATTGGGCTCCTGATGACTTATAAATTTAACATAAGACTCAAGTAATTATAACTGGAGTTCATAATGAATTAACATTATGGTTGAAAGAAGCGATTGAAAACTTCTACAGGTGAGTGTTTTTACAGATTCTAAAATAAAATTGGATTTGACACAAGACTTTAGCATCGCAGATTGTGAATCCTATCATATTATTACTAGTTAAAATTTATTAGTTTCATGGGTTGTTAACCCCTTAGCTGTATATTGTCTTATAGATTCATTGAAGAGTCGATCGAGTTGATCAGATTGAAGTTCTGTTGAGCAAATAGGATAACATAACGTGAGTGGTAACTTAACACATAACTAGCTTGGCATTTTTCTACATTGAATTAAACATAAGCTTGTGATAATTGGATTTGAGAACTTCAATAATATAAGTGTTAATGATCTTAGTTGCCATGTTTTTGACAAAGTATGCATTCTTGTGGACAAGCTCTTGAGATAAAATGACAAGCTTTTTGATATAGGTCAACCATATTTGAGTATATGAAATGATAATTGCACATGAAAGCTGTCCTAGTACTTTGTACTGTTCCAAACTAACTGGAAATAGAAATTCACAAAGTGCTGCTTGAACTTGGACTATTCCTATTTTTTTTGTCAAATCTTTTTATTTCTTCCTTAATATAAGTATAAAAATTAATGCTGAAGGAAAAAGTAAAAATAGATAACAGCAACGGAAAAGCTAAAGTTCAAAGTATGTTTTCAAGTCCAAACATTTAGATCACATATATGAGTGAAATATATAGTAGGAAAATATTATGCCACAAAATCCTGATAAGGAGTGTTTACCCTCTAATGGAATAATGGATGCGTATGTATTCGTTACCAGTGAATTCCGAATATCAAATAGTTATTAATAAAGGACCGAATCTCCCATACTATTGCTACTGCAAATCATGCAAGTAAAAGACAAATTAGCCCTTTTTGGGTCTACATTAGACATATATAAACCCAGAAACCACTTGCTAGCCCTGCATCATATGCTCATTTCCAGTTTTGTAGCTTGAAGAGAGATGAGAGACATCAAAATTCTCCACACTACTTTCGGAATTTTAGGTGGGATTATTCATTGTCCATGCATCTTCTTGTGCTTAGTCCTACTTTTTTCTGGATATTGATTATTATACTCTTTTCCTTCTTTTACTTTTTTCCATGGAATAGGAGATGTTTTTGGTTTATTACTCTTCATGGCGCCCATGTAAGAATTCTTCACAATTTTCGTTTTTTTTTGTGTGTGCGTGCTATTTTTGTCTTCTTTTTTGTTTTTTTTCCTCATCAAAGCTAAAAGTGACTAAATGATCAAATTTTGACACTACATACAGGATTACATTCAAAAGGATTATTAGGAAGAAATCAACAGAACAGTTCTCTAGCATGCCTTATCTAATAAGTCTGCTCCAATGCTTGCTCTCAGCCTGGTAAGTTTCTTTATGTAACTTGAAAACCTTTAATGTTTCTCCTATTAATACTCTGTAAAATAAGTTTAGCATTGTTTTTCCATTTTTCTTTGAGAAGTTATTGAGTTTAATTTAGGAATCCGACTTGTGGTGAATCAAACAGGTACAGTTTACCTTTTGTGTCACCAAACAACCTGCTGGTAACTGTCATCAGTGCCATAGGCATTGGCCTGGAGGCAACTTACGTGCTTATTTTCCTCATATTTTCCCCCAAGAAAGGGAAGGCCAAGATCTGCGGATACCTCTTTGTGGTCCTTTCTATCTTCTCTAGTCTGGCCTTGGTTTCCATATTGGCATTTCATGGCAATAAAAGGAAGCTCTTTTGTGGCTTTGCGTTTGCAGCTGCTTGTGTTATGATGTATGGTTCTCCTCTCTCTGTAATGGTAAGTACTCTTTCTCTTACACATGCATGTTATGTCCTCCGTCCCATTTTATGTGATGTTTGACTAGGTATGAAATCTAATAAATTAAAGAACACTTTTGATATGTTAGCCAAATATATGCATAGTACCAAACATATCTTTTTAAATGAATAATGGTGAGAGTTTCATATCTCTTCATTTTCTCTACCCTTAAACAATGAACTTTTATATCAAATGGGTCCCGAGAATTCATGTTATTAAGGGTAAAATAAAGATACTTAGTAAGCTAGCGTTTGGACATAGATTTGGTTGAAACTTCAAAAAGGAATTTTTGAAGTTGTGTTGAAAAATAATTTTTGGAAGTTGAAGTTGTGTTTGGACATGCATTTTACTTGAAAAAGTGTTGAAATTTTATGAGTGAAAGAAAAACTTTCGCCTAAAAACTGGTCCAAACCAGTTTGTGGAACTTGATCAATTTGTTTTTAAAAAAAAACTGATCAAATTCCATGAATAGACAATATTTTCAATTTTTTTTGAAAAAAAGTAGTCAAAATCTATGTCCAAACGGGAAGTAAATAATTCCAAAAAAAAATGTCATAAACTAAAAATAAAAGTGTATCCTATAAAATGGAACAGAGAGAATACTAAGTAATTATACTCAATAGGGTACTAGAAGCTATGTTAAGCGGACTCTCCAAAATACTGCCGCACCCGTATGGAATCCTCCAAAAATACACTACTTTTGGAGGATCCGATCAGGGGCGGAGCTACAGTAGTGGGTGCGGGTTCGGGCGAACCCAGTGACTTTTTCCGGAACCATGTATTTGTATTGAAATATTTACTAAATCTATATAAATATATACTGCCGAACCCAATAACAAAATGGGTCTTGGTTCAACGGTAAGTGTTGTGGGTTCGCTGAAAAAGATCGGGGTTCGATTCTCCCAGGAAGCAATGTTTTATTTTAAAATTTAGAACCCACACTCTTAAATCCCTAGCTCCGCCTCTGGATCCGATACATACCCGACAATATTTTCGGAGAGTCCTAGCAACATAGACTAGAAGTAAGAAAATTTGAAGTTTGTCATCCTTCATGATCTGTTCTTTTTAAGTTCGTGTGCTTGGGCATTTTCTTCGCCTTTAGATGTAGGTTGTCTTATTTATTGATTGGTCATTTTGTTGTGGACAACAGGGCGGGTTCAAGGCCAAATCTACTAAGGCAAAGGCTTTAGGCCCCAAAATTTTGGGGCCCCTTTTTATTATTATTAATAGTAGGTGGTATGACTAGTTTTCTGTAAATTTATTTAATATCTTAAGATAAAAATTAGTCTAAGATTTTTATAAAAAATGGGTAAGAGAACTTTTTAACCATGTGATTGATTAGCTGTGGCACATATAGCCTTAGAGCTACGGGTTCAACTGAACTCTGTACTTCTTACATGGAACATAGATATATGTGAAAAATAAGAAATATTAGATTCTGAACCCATTTTTTTGAAGGTTGAACCCATCAAATTAAAATTCTAGATCCGTATCTGTTGATTAGCTATATTGTCAATTGAAAAAATGTTTGATTAAAAATTTATTAATAACTCTTAGAGATTAGTTAGAAAGATAGACTTGAATAAAAATATATATGAAAGGCTTTTTTAAGAAAAAAATTAAGGCCTCTTAATAAAATTATACTTTAGGCCACCGACTTTGTTAAGTCGCCCCTATGTACCTATGTTGCTCGGACTCTCTACTTTTGGAGGATCCGACACGGGTGCGGCAACATTTTGGAGAGTCCGCGTAACATAGTTGTGACAGGTTACAAGAGGTATGTTTGTTTAATATATATATTTACGTGTTTGCCAGTTGTAGGCATTTTATTTACCTTTTGTCATTAGTTGGCTAATTTATATGTCAGTCTACTTGTCATTCTCTGGTAACCATATCACTGATTTTATTTACATGTTTTTACTGTGGACTTAGGGCTGTTTATTTAAGATTACAATATTTGAATTTGAAAACATATTTAATTATTACTATAAACTAATTTCTTCTAAAATTTAGCACTGAATATTTAAAGAAAATAAGTGTATTCTAAAAAAAGAAAGAGTTGAGGAGGTTTGAAATATCAAGCATGGCCTAAATGACCACTGAGAAAGTTTCCAAAAAGTAAGCTCGTATTATGAAGTAAAATAAGATACTCTTTTATGTTATTTTCTTTCAATATTCCTTCTCTCTCCCTTGGCAGAGGCTGGTGATCAAATCTAAAAGTGTGGAGTACATGCCCTTCTTCTTGTCTCTATCTGTTTTCATCAACAGTACTTCATGGTTAATCTTCGCCCTGCTTGGAAAGGATCCTTTCATTTTTGTAAGTAGCTATTCAGTAACTTCTACTTAGGTCATTTCATGACCAGAAAGTTAATAACATTGACAAATCTTAAGATTAAATCTCACAAAACTGTTGTTTTATAGGTTCCAAATGCTGCCGGAACTATATTAGGAGCTGCACAGTTGATTTTATATGCAGTTTATCGTGATAAAAAAGAAGTTAAGAAAGACGGAATTAATGAATCAGTAGATCAGATGAGGACTGGGAAACTCCAAGACGAGAAGATAGTTGACATCCAAAATGAGAATGCAAATCCATAACATTCATATGTACACAAAGTTTCTGAACTTTATTACCCATGTACTGTAAAGTTTCTGTTTGGAACCAAAAGTTATGGTCACTTGTCTAATGTCGAATGAAAAAGGAGTTAGGTTCAAAAGTATAGAGAAAGTTCAATCACTGTGTAATCTTTTCTCTTTAACTTTTTAGCAGCTTTTAGTTTTTCTGTTTTTATCTAATTTTCTTGTCAAACTGTGCATATGTATTCTTTGGAACAAGGAACAAAACCATACAAAAACCATCTCAAATTTCGATCTATGGATATAGTAATTAGAGATTGAACTTGGGATGAAAAGAAACGCAATTCTGAAGTCTAAACAAATGGCAGCTAATTGTTTCACTGGATCCTTTAGGAAAGGATTAGACAATATAATATTGTGGATGACAATGCAGCTTAGTTTTATGCTTTCTTGGTCATTGGCCGACCTAACTTTGCTGATGAAAACATATATAGTGCTTGAATTAGCTTTTGGCTGGTTGGTGAGATATTCATCTGACCAATCGAATTACGAACTTTGTGCTTCTTGATTCTATATGGTTTCCTCCTTGCACAAAACCAAGCAATTTAGCTTTAACAATCATAAAAAATTAATGTAAAAATACATATTACCTTGTGGCTTGTGATAGTTAAATGTGTCCGTAAAGATACGTGTCTTGCATTCATTTATTTGTTGCAAATATTGGTTCAATTCTTTTGGTTTGTTTAAAAATATTTCTAGATGTATAGCCTTTTAACTTAATTAGATTTTGTATAACACTCCTTAAACTCATTCATCTAATCATTTCTTGTTCTTGTTGAATGATTTTATTAATGAATGAAATATTGTTTTTTTTTTTGCTTTGATTTACACATAATTTGCCATGAGCAAAGAAACTTTTTTCTTTTAGAGGAAGTGTTAGATAACGATAGATGCTTTCATTGTCATGTGGTTTAGAGACACTAAATATCGCAAAAAATAAAAAAGAATCGCAAGCACAAAGTACCCATCAGGTGATGCAGTGTCAAATTGTCATAATTTGAATCCTGAAGATTATGTTTTGTACGTAGATCTTTTTAATTCCACTGCGAGTGCTAATTTGCCTTTTATTTTATTTTTTATTTTTTATAATACCATATCCATGATTTAATTCTCATATTTTTGTATTACTATTTTGGTGAGCTCGTGTTTTGAGTAATTTTTCACCTTTTCACTAAAATAATTAAATACATTTACTCGGCAGCTGAATTGTTCTTACTCAATAAATGTAAAGAAAAGCCAAAATATTTTTGAAGAATTAACCCAAATAGCCGTCTACCTAGCCTCTTAAATTAAAAATAGCCAGTGGAGGTATAATGTATGCATAATTTATGTATTATATGTTAATATGTGTATAACTATGTATAATGAATGTATAATCTATGTATATGGCTAGAAAAAATAAACAATAAATATGGTCGGCTATTTGTGTAAAGATCCCTAATATTTTTATGTAGAAATATATAGATGAGGCTTTAGCTATAAAAGCTCTTATTGGTGGAAAATATACCTTTAACAGAATATTAATTCTCTACTCACTATATTCTCATTGTTTCCGACAAGGATAGCACTTACGTTTTGTTCCATTTTTTCCGTTTAAAGTTATATAAGTAAATGTCATGGTGGGATTCACTGTCATAAAATGAAAATCATAATATTGTCAAAGATAACAATTAGCTTACGTTATTGCGTATCAAGAATGCTCCTGTTTGTTTCCTTGGATGGTTAATCTAGTCACTTTACGCTTTAAGATAAAGACTGATCTATTTGTTCTATAATTAAGGGTTATATATTTATAGCATTAAAATATGTGAAACTTAATGGGATAGCTCAATTAAAGATATCATTATATGCAATAGGAAAATATATGACAAAGTAAACTACAACTTCTATAGAACGTACGATAGTAAATAAGATCAACAACAGTTGTATATACGAGTAAATATAGTGGGCATCTAAGGTCCACAAACAAATATGTCAGGATGAGTGCATTATTAAGAAAGATGGATCCAAAATATAAATTTTACGGATTCAACCTTTAATTCTTACGATTGCGTACCTATTGCACTTTTGGAATTATAAGTTCAAATTTTTATTTTTTTAAATAGCAATTTTCTTACATCTATATCTATTTTTCATGTTGAAAATATTGAGATAAGTTGAACCCATTGACTATATGCTACATCATACACTGCTACTAGTCTTAATATACACATTTTGTTTAATCATATAAGATTTTATAGCGACAAAAGAAGAATATGAATTTCAACGTGTGAAAATTTAGAAAGAATTAACCAAACAAAAAAAGAAATAAAAAGAAAAAGTACTTAATTAATACCCAAAAAATAACACTAGATACACCCATCTCCCATGGGCATCTACTTTTAGAAAAAAAAAGGAAAAAACAACAAGATTGACATAAGATTTGTACTCACAATCTCACCTAGAGAGATACACTCAATAACCATCATATCATATAATACTTTGAGCGTAGGTGCACACAAATATATTTAAATATTTTTTTTTAAAATATAACATTACTATACATGATTTAGGGCGGGAGCATAGGTTCACGTGCCCCATGGAACCCCTAGATACGCCCCTGCTAAAAATGTGATGTTATGATGGGTGCATGCCGCATGATCATAATAAAATCTGAGAAGGTCGTCTAAAATTGTTTGGACATATCGTACATAAATATATGTCCATATGCACAGTATGTGGAGGTAATATTATGATGATCGAGAGTGTTAAACTAAAGAGGAACGATCAAAAGTTTCATGGCCATGAATTCTATAAAAATATCTGCAATTTCTCTGAATTAATACAGTCTTAATTCAATAACGTAACAAAATGGAAATACGAATTCATAGATGATACCAACAAGTTGAGATTCTTCCAGTTAATTATTACACTTATATAAATTAGATCTGGTATTGTCTGCCACGAATTTACTGAGTCCTGTATGTCACTAGAGGATTAAATATTTGATTTTTAGAACCTCTACTTACAAACAATAGCGACCCAGAAATTTCAGTTGAAAATATAAAGGAGGAAATATACAAAAAGCTCAACATCTACTATATTATACATAAAAAATAATTTTAACCTAGTATATATTGTATAATTTCTCGACGAGAAGGGTTCGGATGAACCACTTCCGCACCCTGGCTCCGCCCATGGTTACAAAGAAGACAATTTAAATAGTATTGGAATGAAATATATATATATATATAGTCATAGCCAATTAGTATTGATAATGTAAGAAATTCGCGGCTGCAAATTATAGGTTACATTATTTTCCCTGGTTTACCCTAATTCATCAAAACAACCAAATGATTCAAAGGAATTAATAATTAGGTGGAGTATGTAGGGCCTGGATCACACTGAATATTCTAGTGCAGAACAAGCAAACAAAAAGTAGTGGATAATTCCTCAGCAAATCACCAAATTATGGCTCTATATATCATATATGTATGTAGATATAAATCATGCTTAATTGCCTGCACCATTTTATACATACTGGGATAAACTAATTATCATCATTCTCAGTTAATATGGGTCATGTCATCAAAATTCTCCACACGACCTTCGGACTTTTTGGTGGGATTTTAATTTTATTGTCCTATTATTGCTTCCTGTGTTTATTAATTAATTCTTAATTAGTTGAATTCCTTTGAGTTGTTTATGATATATTTTTTCTTCATCTGTTTTTCTTTGAATAGGAAATGTTTTTGGTATATTACTCTTCTTGGCGCCCTTGTAAGTCTTCGATCAAGTTTAATTTTCTTTCTTTATGTATGCATGTGTGTTGTTATCTCAACAAAACTAATAAAAGAATTGTCATATTTTGACACTACAGGATTACATTCAAAAGGATTATTATGAAGAGATCAACAGAGAAATTTTCGGGTGTGCCATATTTAATGAGTCTGTTCAACTGCTTGTTCTCAGCTTGGTAATTACTAAGCTTCTCCAAGTCACATTTCAACCAGCTGTTTTTTCCAACTCTTTTTTAGTGATCAAGTTTAGCGTCTGAGCCATGACCAGACCAGGGGGAGAAGAGAGGGGGGCAACTAACCAAATTAGTATTTAAAAAATAAAAGAAGGAAATTGTTAGTTTTCAAATCTTAATTAATAGATGACAATTTTTCACAAACCCTAGTCGTAAGAGAAAACAGTCTGCCACACGACATTAGTGCAACTCCTATTGTCTCCTTCTCCTTTCCACTTAGCTTCTTTGATTTCAAAAAAGTAGCTTAAAAAAGACAAATAATTTTTTATTTAAGTATCGGATTATAATACAAGATATTGAGAGGTAAGGTGGAACAAGATATAGTGTTGAAATATGCTACCAACTCAAATAAAAATTTTATCCGCGCGTGAGAGTGGAAATACATTTATTTATAACTTTATTTCGTAGATCAAGCACCCGCAAAAATTCATTCTTTTCCTTTCATAATGGAAGGCAATCACGATACTCGAACCACATTTTTTGTCTAAGAATACTACATGTGAGAGAGAGCAGGCAACTTTTGGAAGTTTTTTTTCTTTTTTATAATGTGTAACTTGAACGAATATTTCGTCTAAAAATTTAATTTGTTAGAAATGAAATACTTTTATTTATTTATGTTAGGTTTGCAACACAATTCCTCACATGGGGACCTGACTTTTTTTTTTGTTTCCGGGAACATGTACAACAAAATTCCTTTTTTTCTTTGACAATGAAACTTGAACCCATGACCTCAGCACATGAATACTTTTCTTAAAAAAACATCCAATTAGAGATAGTAGTGTTCTTGATTTTTTTTCTGAAAAACAAATATTGAGTTTAATTTAGGAATTCTACTTGTTGTGAATAAAAAACAGGTATGGTCTGCCTTTTGTGTCAGCGAACAACACGTTGTTAACAGTTCTGGCTTCTATAGGTGGTGGGTTGGAGGCAATCTATGTGTTAATTTTCCTCATATTTGCACCCAAGAGGGAGAAGATTAAGATGTCTGGAACTCTATTTGTGGTGCTTTCCATATTTTCAATCGTGGCTTTGGTCTCTGTGTTAACACTCCATGGCAATAAAAGAAAGCTCCTTTGTGGCTTAGCTTTTGCTATTACCTGTATTATGATGTTTGCTGCTCCTCTTACTGTTATGGTATGTCTTTTAATCTTACCTCATATATACTACTAATAAGTAACCGGATATCACTCGTTATATTATTGGATCAAAAGAACCCCTACCCTCTTGCTATCCAAACACATATACTCTTGACTTGACAGACTGGACACGTGGCATCCATCCAAAACTTTTGGTCCATCCTATCTTAGATTAGACCCGACTCACCCCACGGATAGCATAAATAGACTATTTCGCATAACTAAGAAATACATTTTGACGTTTTTGTTTCCTTTGTCCTTTATTTCTTTGGCAGAGGCAAGTGATCAAATCTAAAAGTGTAGAGTACATGCCATTCTTCTTGTCACTATCTGTATTCAACTCTAGTACCTCATGGGCAATCTACGGCTTGCTTGGGAAGGACCCCTTCATTATTGTAAGTAGCTTTAATTTGAAACATTCAGTGGCTTTTACTTTGATCTTTTCATAACTAAAATTTTACTAGTTATTTTGTAGAAACACATGATAATTACTTGGTTGATCTCCAAATTAGAGGCTGGAAAAATAAATCCACAAATCATTATGTGGATAACTAAATCTTAATTTTTGCTAGGTACCAAATGCAATTGGAACTTTATTAGGATCGGTGCAGTTGATTTTATATGCAATTTATCGCGATAACAAAGGGGAAGGCAAGAAAGACGAAATGAACGGTTCAATCGAAACAGGGCTTGGAAAATTCCAAGAAAAGAAGCTAGATTGCGTCGAAAATGAGATGCAGAAAAATATAACTGAGAAAAATATGGAAGCAAATAAGATGGATTATGAACTATAGCTGGAGGAGGGTGTATTTGAGCGAACTTGTTGTAGTTAGATTCATTGATGCAGTTAGCAAGGTGTTTATTGTATTTGCAATTAAGAGCATTTTAGTGGCTGGTGTTACAATGAAACATTTAAGCCACCAATTATATATGTATAAATCATAATAGGAGTATCCCTAAATCAGTCACAAATCATCAAATCAATTTGCAATTTCAGCTTACTATATATAGTTCCTTTTTTTGTCTTGGTTTCAACCATTTCAGTTTTCTTGGAGGTATTCATTTTCCCCGAGTGGAGTCCAATTTTCTCGACTTCAATTCTCTAGCTTCTAAAATTTTGGTATCAAATGGTAGTACGTATTAGAGTTATCAGGAGCTTTTTTAAAGGTGTGATTCTACAAGATAGATACATTGTTCTCCATCATTTGAAAGAAAACATG